CTAGAGATTTTGAAACGTTTTATCGTGTCCCACACGTAGCACTCACTTATAAAAAAGGATCAGTCCAGCGCCTTCGTCCTGACCTGCGGGCTGTTTCGGTACCACAACCGCTAACTTAAACGTAGAATACGTGATATAATTAAGTCACATTCAAGTCAAAAACGGTACATGAGATATTCGTTTTGATTGTATTGAATTTAATTTAATAAATCAATATGATATTAATAATTAGCAATAGACAAGCAGATTCACATTAACTTCACTGTAGGTTTAGGTCCTTATATCAAAAAACATTCATCTTGCACAAGAAAAAAAATATATATCCAACCTTATGAAAAATAAGCCGTTAAAGCGAATGGCGTACTTATTTTTTTAATACAGCCAACCACAAAGTTACCCACACGGTCTAAAATGACTATTTGGTATTATTTTTCACGAATTTTCAAATCGATCGAGCCTCCCCTAGACTTTGAAGTTTACCTTTACCTTACCTTTATTACCAGCTTGCAGTTGCCATCTGTAAAACCATTTCAGCCAGTTGCGGTTGCCATAAGCCTAAGTCGGTTCAGCTCTATGTTCTGGTGACACACATAAGTACACATTTTCATGAGTCTATCTCTTCTTATTCTGGCACTTACAAATATCGGGCCAAAGTTATAATACCATTTCATGCTCATGAAAGGTATAGTTTTCAGATTTCAAATCAGTGAAGTAGATAACAAAATATATATTTAAACATTTTCTTAACTTCTTCCCAGCGTATCTATTAAAATGTCATTTCCAAAAATTTCATGCATTGCTATGCCATGTCATTCCATCTCAAACATACTGTTTAGCATGTCATTGCTTCTTAGCTCAGCTGTTGTTTGCTGTTGTGTTTCTGCAGCATATTTATACCTTTGATGAGCATGAAATGGTATTATAACTTTGGTCCGATGTTTGTAAGTACCAGAATAAAAAGAGATAGACCCATTAAAATTTATACTTATATGATCAGAACGTCGAGCTGAGTCGATTTAGCCATGTCCGTCTGTCCGTCTGTTTGTATGCAATCTAGTCTCTCAGTTCTCGAGATATCCGGATAAAATTTGGTAGGTGGGTGTATTTTTATAATGTATTAATCATTTGTCGGAACCGGAAGAATCGGACCACTATAACATATAGCTCCCATACAACTGATTGTTCAGACATGAGATTTTTCGTTATAACTTCTCCATTTATGCAGCCAGGAACATGAAATTTTTCAGTACTTGCGCCCATTATCAGCAGAATACTTACAGTGAAAATTACAAAGATCGGGTCACTATAACCTATATCTCCCATACAACTGATTGTTCAGATATAAAATTTTTCGTTATAACTCCTCCATTTATATAGCTAGGAACATGAAATTCCGAACTGTTTTCAATAATTATCAACAGAAAACGTACAGTGAAAATTAAAAAGATGGGGTAACTATAACCTATAGCTCCCATACAACTGATTGTTCAGATATGAGATTTTTCGTTATAACTCCTCCATTTATGTAGCTAGGACCATTAACTTTCGCGCTGTTTTCACTCATTATGAACAGACGACTTATAATGAAAATAACAAAGATCGCGTCACTATAACTTGCAGCCCCCATACAACTGATTGTTCAGATATGAGGTCTTTTATCATAACTCCTCCATTTATGCAGCTAGGAACATGAAATTTCGCACCATTTTCACTCAATATTAACAGAATACTCACAGTGAAAATAACAAGGATGGGGTGACTATAACATATATGTATCTTCTTCTGATTGTTCAGATATGGGATTTTACGATAAAACTCCTTTATTTGAACAGCTAAAACCGATAAATTTCGTAAGATATTTTATAAATAATAATACAAAGTCTACTGAGAAAATCGTCAAAATCTATGCCGTATAAGCTTTATCTCCTATACCACTGATTGTGTTTTATGTAGGAAACTAAACCCAATAAATTGTGTTACCGGTTTACATACCGATGACATAGCAGTGAAAATCACTTAGATTGGTGCTAATATAAGGTATATCTTCCATACCTCTGATTGTTCAGATGCGATTTTTTATATAAGTATGTAACTCCTCTATCGATGTATGCAGATGTATTCAAAAGCAGTAATCTGTCAAAGTAAAATTTGCAGATGTTCATGAAAGGTATGAAGCCTTCGGCATAGCCGAAGACAGCGCTGCTCTTACTTGTTTTAATACTGTTTAATCCTGCCTTGTATGAAAATGTATATAGCAGGGGTGGACAAGGCCGAGGCCGAAAATAGCCACATCTAAGTTCTAAATGCTACAAAGAGCCACAAAAAAAAGAACAAGAAAAACAAAAATTGTATTTTTAATTAAAATTATTATTAAATAGAAATGAAAAACATTAATCTTATTATTATTCTATTGTACGTAAGATAGATATAAAAGAAAATTCAAAAGATCCCTTTGGCGAGATTTTCAAAATCTGGTTTTAGGTCAGTTAAAGCCGTTCGTAACAATTCTGTTAAATGTTGGATAGTCAATAGGTACGTTCGTTTAAAATTTCCTGTAAAAAATGTCCAACAGCGAAATTCCGGCGAAATATCATCTGTTCTCTCACAAGAGAAAAATGTACAAAATAATACGCGAACAGAAAATTTGCAGATACTTGCAAGTTAGACGAACAGCTGATAGAAATTTTGTTTTAAGATTAACATGTCTATTATGCACGTTACCGAAGATTTTGTGACCGGAAAATTTGATTACCAAAAAATGTTACCACTTCTTGCCTCCGCGATTCTAGGTACGTTGGTAATGCAGTGAAAATATTCAGCAACTCAGCTATGAAGATTTGTGGAAATTCCTGTATTGCATATTTCACGGGGCAATATTTTGTTACCAGCTTATGAAATGGTAACCAAATTTACCGGTTACAAGAGAGCACAGAATGCGAAAAAGGTTTAAAAATTGACAGACAGGTTAATTACCGGTTATAAAATTTATGTTACCAGCGCAGAATAATCTACGTGAGCGAGGCGTATACGGAATGGGTATTTTTTTTTAATTTTAACACAAAATTTACTTTTTATTTTGTTGTTTTAAATAAATGTGGTTATAGTTGATTAATAAAACTATGTCTAAGTATATTTTAGCTCACAGGTTATCTTTTAAGTACATAAGCCTCTACGGCGTATGTTAAGGCTTTACGTTACTCCCAAATAGATTAGGCTTCTGGGGTTAAGAAAGCTTTAGTTTGAAAGTGTGATATTAAATGCTTTTCACCATAAGCGGCGCCAATTTACAATGATTATTGCGTTTCAGATTAAGAATAATACCAGATATTGTGAAAGGTTGGACTATACCTTAAAGATGACGGTTTTCTCATGGCCCCACTGCACGAAGCTTAGAGTAGAGTAATGTCTTTTAAGAACTTTAAAATTATCCTGGGTTGTCAGGTGTCTAGCAATACAAGATTAATTGTTGTCTTTCACGAAGTTCTTTAAATATATTTTGAGCTAAGTACTCACCCGTATTTCGGGGGTTACTACTAGTTTTAATAAATTGTTAGTTAAATTTCCTATAAAATTTACCTTCTGGTTTATGCATTTTAAGAATACATCGAAAATTTGTTTTAGAGGATCAATGTGAAATAATTGCAGAAACGATTAACCGGTTTGCTGAGCAACCGAGACGTCTGCTTTTTAAATAATTTTTGTAAAACAAATCGGCAAGTACATATCGTCCCCCGCATTCCAGAAACATGAATGTCTAAAGATGAAAATTTTGGGAGATTATTTTTTTAAACCGCTGCATTTGCCCTGCTAGTGAAACGGACCCCAGAATTCCCCTGTTAACGTAGGTATGTAC